GCTTTCTTGTTGTGCGGCTGTGAAAGAAAAGTGTTTATATACAGAAACTAATGGCGTTTTCAAATTTAAAACCAACATAAAATAATAAGACTAAAAATGCTACAAAAACTCAAATGCCTAGGTTTCTTCCTTTCTTTTTTTGTCTACATACAACAATTTTAATTAGCATTTTGATTAGCCCACGCGTCGATGTGTGCGCGAAAACTGGAAGAATTCTTTCGAAACGCAAAAAGTGATAATCGAAACCGGATTGTATTAACAAATGATAAACGTATGCTGGGATAGCTTTGAAGAACAGACAGAGTTGCATTTGTTTGGCCATTTCGAAAGCTGTTTGCCATAAAACTCGAGAAAGAGATGTCAAACTATTGGCAATGGGCTAGAAAAGAGGCAGGATTTGGAACCAAATTTAGGACAGTATTAGAAGGAGAGAAATATAAAAAGAATTGGCAAAACCATTTAGAAATATGCATGGATTTTATTAATCCACATTGTACTCTACCAAAGCGAAAGCTGGCTGCTTTAAATACATGAGATATTAATTTTTCAGTGTATGCTTGTTTTTTAAACCTATTCCCAAGAGAAATGAGAAATAAATTATTGCTCAGACAAGAAAACACTTTTATATATTCATAGAGAACTTATCTATATTTTTATGAAGATAAAACTGGGAACATAAATGAAATATATATGTAATAAAGAAAGTTCCAGCAAGGCCAAAAACAAAAAAAAATATATATTGTTTGATAAACATCAAGAAGCTAATCTATATTTGCATTTCAAAACACAAGCCGATTTCACTCACAAATTAAAACAAAAACAAAGCAAAACAAATTTGCATTTAGCATGCACTTAAATAAAAATAGAATAGAAACCATGTGGCGAACAGCTAGAAAGAAAACTTAGTCCCATTAAAATACCAAATACAATACTCATGCTCAAATATCAGAAAGAATCAAGTGCTTTCTTGCCCACTTGCGTAATAGAACGACGCAGATTGTCAGATATGCTCGCATGCTGTGGTCAATAATAAAACAAAAACAGCAACAACAAAAACATAAAGCAAAACCGGCTAGAATGCCATAACATGGCCATAAAGTAACACAATAAGCCACAGTCCAGAGCAGAGTCGCAACGCTGAGAAACGCGGAGACTCACAGCTGTTGCTGATGTTGTTTTTCTACTACTTCTCACATAGTAGTCCCAGATAATGCGCAGAAGCGCTTAACACACACAAAAAAAAAATAAAAATAAAACACAAAACAAAACAACAAAAAAAAAATTAAATAAATAAAACCTGTACTCAAGACCAACTGAACTCAAGCGCAACAAACGGGTACGAGCCACAGATACAGATACAGATACAGATACATTTGTATCTAAAGCTCCATATGTATGGGTTGTTTGTCGCTCTATGAGTAACCGCCAGCTCAGGTCACAAACTCACGTTCCACACACAGGTTTTCGAGACCCTAAAAACGCCGGTCCCAACACTCATTTGTAACTCATTGCCTATAGCTATGAATCGATGAACCGCTTTTCTGATGCTGCTCTGCTGATGATGATGTCATTGGCAAACTAAATGTATCTATAGAGCGGGCACATGGCTGGCACTGAGAATCGTGCTGAGAGAAATTCGCACGCCCAGTAATTTATTTAGCTCTAAGTTAACTCATTGTCGAAGGTCAATACCAGACTAACAACTTGGCAACGGGCCCAACTCTGTGTGTCCTGTAAAGGGCACAGCTGGAACTGCTGCATGATGTCATATGCACCCGAAAAGGTAAATCCATAAATGTATTTACAACTGCGACCAAGGGCAAGGCTTCAAATACAGCTAATACACTCGGTATTAAAGTGAAGAATTAAAAAACCAGAAAATACTTCTATGAAAGTTAAGAGTACATGTCTTCAGTTTCAATATGCAAAACAAGATAGCATATTTTTTAAAAGTTGAGAAAAAAAATTGTAGAAGTATTTGATATAATAAAACAGAATTCATTTCAATCTTATCTTAGCTTAAATAGAGTTTGATATATTGTGTAAATATAATATATATTTTACATTGTTATTTATATAAATATTTGATTGGTTGTAAATGTAGAACATATTACTGTATTTTTCATGCACATTTTCTTGTAAGTTCTCTAATGATTTAATTTTCTTAATATTTTAAAAATGTCGAACTACGTAATAAGAAAGTGAATTTTAAAAGTGAACAAAGTTCGCTTAAATTAAAATAAAAGTTTTATTGAAACAAAATATGTATTCGATTTGAAAAATAAAACCCTTTTGCTATGATTTACATAAGCTAAATGAGATTCAATTTGGAAAACTACTTTACCTCTGCAATTCAAGTATATTATATCAAGAATTAGTTGATAGCTCTTATTTTCATTGGTCTAGCTATTCATACACTCAATTAAATGCGTAACCCCGAACCTGACCCACAAACCTAGCCGAGCGATTCCGGTCTGAGTGTCCAAATTGGATGACAGCAGCGTCTCAACTCTTCCGGAATGCCCGCCCAAGTTAGGCTGGCGACAGCTAATTGAATTAGTTGACCACTGGGCACGGTCGGGTGGAACCGTTGATAAAGGCATGCGATGATCATTGATTGCGATCCATGGCAAATGGAATTGCGATTGCATGGTAGGGGAGGATATAAGTACAGGAGGGAACAGCGCCAGAGCACACAATGGTGCATTGGTAAGGAGAGATGAAGCACATCATAATTGCGATCATTGCCGTGCTGAGTGTCCTGCATAGGGATCAGCTGCTGGCCACGGCCAAGGGCTGTCCGCGTCGCTATCTGAGACGCATCAATGGCAAGTGCTATTATTTCTCAGTGAAAAAGGTAAGCGTATCCTGCCGTGCAGAATCCCCTGCTCATCGCTGCCCTGCTCATTAATCGCAGATGAACTGGTATGGTGCTCTCAACAATTGCCTGCGCAAGGGCCTGACGCTAGCCGATTTGAGCAATGCACGAGATTTTTATGGCGCCGTCGAGTTTCTCAGCTCCAAGGGCAACACGGAGGACTTTTGGTTTGGCGCCAATGATCTCCAAACGGAGGGACGCTTTCAGTACATAAGCAATGGCCGCCTGGTGCGATACTTTAGCAATTATAGCATTGTGGAGCCGGCAGAACATTCCGAGTGCGATGACTGCCTGGAGGTGCGCATACGCAACAACTTGACTGTTGTGGCCGATGACAATTGCCTGGAGCGGCAGTATTTCATCTGCTCGGAGCGGTACTGTGATGTCGCCATCAGTAAGCCCCGTCATCACAGTCACGAGCATTTGCATCACTTCCATCACGACATCGGCGAGGCTAGCGAGCCGGAGGGCGAAAAGGAACTTAATATTCAATCGCCAGATCAAATTGAGGAGCAGCAGACCGATAACAACGAATCAGAGGAGGCAGCCAATGCGGAAACACCGGAAAATGACGATGGTGGTAGAGAAATGGCTGCTGAGGGAGGGAAAGACACAACACCAACGGCTGAAGAAGGAGAAACGCCAGCTGCAGGCGCAGCTCCACCTGCTGAAGGAGGAGCAGGCGCAGCCCCACCTGCTGAAGGAGGAGTAACGCCAGCTGCAGGCGAAGCCCCACCAGCTGAGGGAGGAGAAACGCCAGCTGCAGGCGCAGCACCACCAGCTGAGGGAGGAGAAGCAGCACCTGCCGCGGGTGCAGCTCCACCAGCCGAAGGAGGAGAAACGCCAGCTGCGGGCGCAGTACCACCTGCTGTAGGAGGAGAAACAGCACCTCCTGAGGGTGCAGCTCCACCCGCTGCAGGAGGAGAAGCAGCACCTGCTGAGGGTGCAGCTCCACCAGCTGCAGGAGGAGAAGCAGCACCTGCTGAGGGTGCAGCTCCACCAGCTGCAGGTGGAGAAGCAGCACCTGCTGAGGGTGCAGCTCCGCCAGCTGAGGGAGGAGAGCCAGCACCTGCCGAGGGTGCAGCTCCGCCAGCTGAGGGAGGAGAAGCAGCACCTGCCTAGGCATAGAATTTGATCAAGTAGACGCATTTGAAGGAAAAAAGTTTAACGTGTAAAAATTAATAAACTAAATAAATACAATAAGCAAATAACATTTCGGGAACAGGTCCAAAGGTATAACAGAGTTTAACAGTTCCGATTCCGGCAAGGTCTAAGGTCCCTCAGTTGACAACAGTTTTCTTCGATTCATAACAGCAGAGTCTCTGCTAAGACTTAAGCACATGGAACCTATGATAAAAGGTCTGCCAGACATTTTGGAAGAAATTTTCCAACTTCTTTATATAAAAATATACGTTATTTAACCAATCAACCAGAAACTAAGTCTTGAGTAGAGTAGACTGTACTATAATATTTAAAAAGGTGACAACTATACAGAGTTGCCAGACCTTATGAGGAACAACATGTAGTTGTTCTCAAGTTTCAATTGAAAGACAAAGACTTAGCTTCAGCAAGCCTCATTAGGAAAATATCATTTTTATTATATGGCAAATCTTAGCTAAAATAAATATAAATTTAATATAAGAAACTAATGTTCTATTTGGCAGCATAATAGAGTTGCCAGATCATAAAAATGCCCATTGTACAATTACTTCAAAGCTGTAGTAAAAGGAATCCGAAATTAAGCTGCAAAATGTCCGTGTAGAATCAAAAAATTGTCTTATGAGGGTGCGAATATTTTTGAAATGGTGAAACATTTGGAAGACGTAGCGGAATAAAGTATCTTTGGGAACCAAAATATTGAATATTGAAGCAATTGTCTGACCTTCGAAATGCAGATCTGTAGGTTGTCTACGCTAGAACATTTTATTGGAGTATTATTTTACGGACCCACCATGACTCGAAAGCAACTAATTTAAATTAATTGATTTGTTCAATACTGAGCAATCGAACCACTAAAAAATTGCATATATTTATGTCTAGATAGTATAATGGGCATACATAATGATGGTTGTCACGCATTCAAGAGTGTATATATAGAAGAAACAGGCAAATTGTGCACAGTTTGTGCAGCGAGGCGCCTGCAGCCATGAGGTTACTAGAAATTGTGATATTGACTTTAATCGTAGTATATCCAGATGGTGGGCTCTCAATCAAGCGACCCAATAAGGCATCCAAGAAACCAGATATTAATGGTCCTTGCGGCAAGCGGTATTTGCGCCAGATAAACGGTAAATGCTATTATTTTGCAGGCAAAAAGGTTTGTACTTGGAACTACTTGTATATCGCGATAGTTCAGTTGAACAAAATGGTTGGATTCTACATTTCAGATGAACTGGTTCGGGGCACAGAACAATTGCCTGCGCAAGAACCTCAATCTTGCCGATCTGGCCACAAGGGAGGAATACAATGGCATCGTGTATTACCTGAGAGCGCGCGGCAACATGGAGGACTTTTGGTTCGGTGGCAATGACCTGCAGACGGAGGGTCGTTTCACCTACATTAGCACTGGTCGACCGGTACGCTATTTCGGAGGTCTCAAAGGCATTGAGGCCACATTTCGCGCAAATTTGGATGATTGCCTGGAGATAAGGCTGAGGCAGAATACCACCGGTATTACCGATGACAATTGCCAGGAGAAACAATATTTTATATGCCAGACGAATGCTGTCAAGTGTGCTCAGCCAGTGGAAGGTGGAGCAAACGATACGCATCATAGCCATGAGCATTTGCATCACTTCCATCATGATGCGGAAAAAGGCAAGGACAGGGATGGCTCGGGAAATAGAGATAATGAACAGAGAGATGTGGAAAGCGATTCGCGGCCGGCTGATAATTCGAATTCAACGGAAGTTAGGGAACTACCAACCGAAGTATCGGGTGAAAACACATCAGCGTATGGGGAGGAGAATACACCAATGGCAGAGGAGAGTTTAGGCACAACAGTTGTGCCACCCGATGATGGCGGAGAAGGAACGTTACCAGCTCCAGAGGGAACAGCAACAGCAAATGGAACGGAAACTTCTGGACCGTCTAAAGCTGACGGAGAAACTCCAGTGCCACCTGCAGAAGGTGCAGAAACTCCAGTGCCACCTGCAGAAGGAGCCGAAACTCCAGTGCCACCTGCAGCAGGAGTGCCACCAGCAGAAGGCGCAGAAGCTGCAGCGCCGCCTGCAGAAGGCGCAGAAGCTGCAGCGCCACCTGCAGAAGGCGCAGAAGCTGCAGCGCCACCTGCAGAAGGCGCAGGAGCTGCAGCACCACCTGCAGAAGGTGCAGAAACTCCAGCAGCACCTGCAGGAGATGGCGCACAACCTCCTGTTGAAGGCGCAGCCGCAGAGCCAGCACCACCTGGCAGCGGAGAACCTGCAAAGCCATCTGAAGATCAAGCAGAGACTCCTGCACCAGACAATCCTGATAATCCAGCCGGCCGTGCTCCCAAAACAACACCCGTAGAAATAACAACAACAACTGTGCGCTACGAGAAACCGGATGAAGCTCACGGCAAAACTGATTTGGCAACAAAGAACCTAGATGGAGAGCTCGTTTCGCCAGTGCCAGTGCCAGTGCATGACGAGACAACATCGGAACATTGATGGAATATCGGTGACACCTGAAATCGGCGCTCAACAAGCACCTGAAATAACCCCCAATCCAAATGCGTTTGTAAAAATCGAATTTCCAATGCACAAATAAAACGCCAGAGATCTCGCCTGGCCTCTATATAAATAAGTCAATTTTATAATGTCCAATTTCTATGGTTAGGGGAATGGAGATGGTGTTCGGGCATAAGGAAATGTTCTGTCTATTGAGCTACTGATAATGTGAATGCATGCTATTTATAGTGCGAACAAAAATCTACACTCAGAAAAAGATTGGGGCTTTTCACTCAAAAAGAGAATATTTTCCCAAAAAAAAAAAAAAAAAGATACATATATATATTAAATATGTTGTTAAATATTCTCTTTTTTTTAATTACAATTTATTTGAATAATATTTTTTAATAAATGTGAAATGTTCCAAATTTATTATTTTTTTTTTGTTTTTTTCTGTTGTGCACAATTTTTTGTTGAGTGTTCGATAACTATTGAAATTTCTACTAGATTTGCAAAATATATATATATATATAGTTTATTTTGCTTATAAACGTACATAGACAAGGGATTTTACTTACATTTGGAAGCATCTGTTTGCATTAAGTGGAAACAGAGAATTATAATTAAAGTATATTTCATCATTGTCTAAAGAAATTACTACGAAATACTTTGTGCCAATTGCTTCAGTTGTTTTCGATTTATCCCAAAAGCAGGAAAACGAGAAAACTGACAGTGAAGAATTTTTCAGTTAACGGAAATAGAGTCATTTATTTTTGGGTCGGTGTGTGTGCGTGTGTGCGTGTGTGTATTGTACGCACTCTAAAATACATCAAAGAACCAATTTTGAAATCTTTAAACAAAAAGAACACACATATTCGCACAATATGACAGAAAAAAAGAAGAAAATAAATATATATATATAAAAGTATCAAATATGTATAGATTTAATATATATATATATATATATATATATATATATTTATGCACACACGCCAGCCAATATAATTACACATATATACATAAGTTTATATGTATCGCATCGTTGTGGGTGTGGGTTGTGTCAGCGAGAAGAACAACTTATAGTTCAGAGACGTGTCTGTATATAGTATATACAGAGGCGAATACTGCGCCATAATTGGCTTACGCTGACGTATCATCATCGTCATCATCATCATCATCATCATCATTATCAAGATCATCAACGAGCTCTATAAGTAATCGTAACTATAGCAGACAATTAATTGTGTCTGCTTATGCCGACTGCTCAACTCCTTTTTCTCATTTCTCATTTTTATTTCGTTTTAGCTTGTGACGATGATGTAATTCTATTATAGTCCTGCAATGCGGTCATAGGTTGTACGAGCCCAACAGCAAGGTCTCACACTTTATTTTTCTATTATTTTTTTTTTTTTTTTGGTTCTATTATTTATTTCGATTTTTGTTGCTGTTCGAAATGTCATGCCACATGCCACATACCACACGCTGCATATTTAATTGGACAATGGACAATACATGGAAATGTCTCTTAATTTTCTAATTCAAAAACTTTCACAACAGCTTGAACTGCGTTATGTTTTTTTTTTTTTTTGTACTTGTTTTTTACCTGTCAACGAGCTGAACATGTTGAAATTGTTGAATTTGATTTTGGTGTGTTTTTTTTAATAGAATTTGGAACTGTTAACGTTCTATTTGAATTTGAATTTGAATTGAGAGTCTGCTTTGGATTTATTTGTAGTCGGCTAATTTTGTACGTAGCGCGTTTATTTTTAAAACGTTCCGACTGCGTCGACGGCACAAAAACGAATAAAGTCCAAACGAAAGTATCTTGTTGGAAATGTTGTTGTTCGCGATTGTTGTTGTTGTTGTTGTTGTCTTTTAGCTACTGATTCTTGTGGAACCTGTTAACTGCACTCTTTCCGCTGTGCTACGTTCGCATGTAGATGCTATCAGCGTTGCCAGATGCACTGAATTCGTTGATACATTGTGAACTCGCGTTGCCTCTGCCAGATAAGCATTAACAGAAATGTTATAAAGCAGTTAACAGCTTTCTGTTAGCGAATCTTAGACTTTTACGCCTTAAGTTAGCTCAGGTTAACAGTGTTAAGTTGCTTGAAAGCGGCCAACATGTTTGTGTTAACGGATATTCAAATTACCTAAATTAAATATATTACTGTGAACTGTGAACAAAAGCGTAACGAATACGTTGTATTGCTTTAGTTGTATATTGTTGTAGTATTCGAATTCGGGACACAGCTTAAGCTACATTCAACATGAAACAGCAGCTAATAAAAGACATATGTGTTTTAGTTTATCTTGCAAATATTTATCAAGTCGAAGGCAAAGGCAATTGCTACTATTTTAGTGACGAAAAGGTGGGTACACCTTATTAATGATTACAATTTGTGTTCCCATAAAAGAATATTAACTTCCAGTTAAGTTGGACTAAAGCCTTAAAGGCTTGTGAAAGCAACAACCTATGCCTGGCCAGCTTCGACAGTGCAGAGGCCTTTAACCATTTGCGAAATCAACCTGATGAACTTAAGGTTGACTATTGGTTTGGCTTAAACGGACGTGAGAGGAATACCTTCAAATACATCGCCACATATGAGTTAATCAAGTATTTGCCACCCGGTAGCGAGTTGGAGATAGATAAACCCTGCGCCTTCGTAAAACTGCTCGACAACAAGAAATACACCATCCGGTCGAATAATTGCATTGCTAAAAAAAAATTCGTGTGCTTCGATTCGGTCAGATGCAAGGGAATAATTGCTAACAAGGAAACCGGTTATCTTACGGAAGTTACTTGTAAAAAATAAACGCAAAATAAATAAATATTGTACATATATGCCACGGACCATATCGAATTCATTTTGAACAACATTTAATTTGATTTGCCGCCGCTTACGTAATCCTTTGCCCTAAGTCACTATAAAATAAAATCAAATTCTCTAGGCCGAAACATACCGTACTCCAAACACCATGAAACTACAAGTGTTGGCATTATTATTGTATTTGAGCCACAGGTGCGAGGGGCAAACAGCAGGATCCTGTCACTATTTCAGCGATACCAAGGTACAGCCAAAAGTCGAATCCTTATTTTTCTAATAGTACCATTTTTACCATACAGATGGATTGGTTTGAGGCATTATTCACATGCCAGCGAAAGCAAATGTGTTTGGCAAACATTAAAACACAGCGTTCGTTTGAGGAATTCGAAAACAAATTAAAAGCAAGTTCGCGGGATGAATATTGGTTTGGCCTAAATGGCTATGAGAAGTATGCCTTCAAATATGTTTCAGATGGCGCACCGCTGGGCTATATGCCACCGGCAGCGATGATACATTTAGATAAGCCCTGTGCTTTTGTCAAACCCATTGGTAAGACACATTTCACCTTTGAAACGGGCAATTGTGGACGACCCAGACGATTCATATGCACCGCAGCACCCAGGTGCAACGGCAAGGATACAAATAGCACATTTATGCCATCGCTTACGGCCGCGCTGCCATGTGAAATCAAAAAAGAAATCTTAGAAAAGCTTGGTATAAAGCCCGTTGAGGTAGAGGATTAAAGAGTAGAAAGAGCTCAAGAAAAATTTCACGAACATGTGAGCTAAGGCCGAAAGACCTTCACTTGAGGCAAATAATAGAATTTAAAAAAAAATTTCCTTGGCTTCATTTTTATATTGCAAGTGTAAAAGGTGGAAAAATATTTTACAGGTGTTTGCAGCTGGCGTTGCCAGATGCTTAGAAAATTTTTTGAAAAAGTCTGAATTCTTCCGTTAAAAAAATTAAAATGTAAACGGCATATTTAAAATAACGCACTTGCGTCCTCTGAATAGTACATATGCCCAAATGTTATATCAAGTGAATATTTAAAATTATTTGTTAGGTGACTTATTTTTCCTTAGCTTTGGTTCATATGTTTATTCAGTTATTCCCAACTACTTAACACAATAATCTTTGCGTTGTTGTCGAATGACCGCATTTAGTTTGAGGCACTGTTGCCGCAGCTGATCATTGTCGCCCTTGAGCACCTCAATGGTCTCCTCCTGTCGCTGTATGGTCTGATGCACCCTATTAATAAAAAAAAAATATGCATAAGGTTAGCTATAGTACGATCTGATGATATACTTATAATTTGTTACCGTTTCTGCAATTGATCCATTTCCTGTTTGTGGCGTTCATTGAGCACGCCCAGCTCACTTTGTATATCCGCATTGAGATTATCGCGCAGCTTGTCGCGCTCGTTGATGAAGTCGCCGCACATCTTCTTGCTATGGCTGAGCTCCAGCTGCAGCTGCTTGACCTCCGCCTGGCAGTTGCGCACCTGGGCGTCCGCCTCGGCCAGTTTGCCACGTGTCTCCGCATACTTTTCTCGCAGCGACTTTTCCACATTTTCCGCCAGTTGCAAATCCTTCTCGTACTTTTCCTTGAGCCGCCTACGAATTGTGATTGTATTCAACAAAGGCCTATCAAAGCTCTTGACTTTATACTTACAGCAACTTCTGCTCGTGCTCTTCGTTGCTTTGCAGTGCATCCGCCTCCATACGCACCACCAGCTCGTCCAGCTGGCGATCTCGTTCGGCTCGATAGTGCTGCCTGATGGCATTCTCCTTTTCCGCCTGCGCCAGCTTGCACTTGTTCTCGTATTCCGTTTTCCAGAGCTCGAAGTCCGCCAGATATTGCTGCTCCACGGTGTTGATGCGATTCTGATATTTCTCCTCCTGCTTGGCCATTTTCTCCTGCATTTCGAACTTGGCCTGCTCAAGTTCGCTCTCCTGTTCCCGCTGCACCTCCTGTCGTTTGGCCAAATAGTCGGACTCCTTTTGCCGGAGCTCCGCTTGCAAACGTTCACGCTCTGCGGCAAAATCATCGGCGAGCTTCTGCCGCAGCTCCGCCTGCGTTTTCTGCTCCTCCTCCAGCTGACGCTCCAGACGCTCACGGATGGCGGTGCGTTCCTTTTCAATAATGCTCTCGCGATCCTGTGCACAACTCTCGCGTATGCTATGCTCGATTTGCTCGTGCTTGAGACGTGCCTCCTCCAGAGCGTCTAACAGTTGCATCTGATGCGCACGCTTCAGTTCGGTCACCTCGCGCTGATGATCACAGTTCATTTTGTTGATCTCCGCCTCAAGACCT